TATATCCCATGCATGTTGCCGATTGCTGAACTGACACACGGTGACATTTTCTAGAATATAACTTGACTGAAACCAAAAGATAGAGTCAGTCTGGCTTAAGAAGTTCAAGGTAACGTTTTTTAATTAATGGCATGCATACAAAAATTTCAGCACGCTCATTGGCTGCGAACACTTTGATTTATCCCATGCAGTGCAGGAAGTTGATTGTGAGGGCGAACAGTTGAAATTGAGTGTAAAAAGTTGAAATCAATTTGGTATACAACAAAGTCGTGAAAGAACAACAAAACAAAGTGGCAGACAAGTTATGAAAAAGTAACAACGTTTGAATTCAGAGTTGGAGGGACAGTGATGAGGAAAAAAACACCCGACAAAGCACAAACAACTGGCTAACAGTCTAGAGATCTTGGAAAGTATATTGACTTACAAACTAGAGGTCACGTTCATACGAAAGACGGGGAGTATTAAGGGCGCGATGGCCTTTGTGTACTGGTTATTGCTATATAGCGATACCTAACTGAGAGGGTGTCGAAGCTTGATTATTCGCGACAGAGTGTTTAAAAGCCGGAAGCAAGTTCTTGCGGGGGAAGCGGCCGAACCAGTGACGGAGCCATAACACGAAATAAGAACGACAAAGAGAGTCAAATAAATTTAACTTGTATATCATAAACAAGTCATCAGAAGATTTGCTCTCGTAAAATGTGTCTAGGACTACACTAGTGCGGCCTTTTCCGCTGACGGAATAGTGATAGTGTCGTCTTGTTTTAGATTCTTAAGGGCTTCTTGCATATCCTTCGTTATGTTAGGCTTGGGTGGTTTGCCCTGTTGAAGGATACCGTTTATAGTTCGTCTTACGGTGTCTGCTTGCTCTGAATCAAGCGTTTTGGTGACTGTTTCGGTGGCTGGTATGTTGGATGGAGTTAGTGCGAAATTCAACCCTTTCGTGGTGTTAAATATTCTTTGGGTATTAACTCTGATCTTTTCAAGTATTTTACTGGCCTCATCTGCCGAAAGAGTGGCTGTTATGCTTCTCGCAGTAGATTCAGTCTCTTTTTTCGCGTCTCCCATAGCTTTCTGGGTAAGTCGTATTCGTTCTCTGAGGAACCTTTTGGAGGCTAGTTCGGCTACTCAACCCGACCAAAGGCGCTCGTATAGACGACTTACTCAGAGAGCTAAGGGAGACGCGACAAAAACTGTTCGTTTGAACGCACGCATGGCAGAATCTTA